ATCTGCAGCCAATCATTCAGATAATTCAGATAACATCCTTGCCGGAATTCAAACTGGGAGTCCCAGTGCTGCGACGTCACCATTTTCAGGGGATTGGTTCTGATTATTGTGGCCTTGTCTCTGGTCAGTATGAAAATGCTGGATTATGCATGGGGTAGCATTGTGAGTTGTCCTGTAGAAGAGGACAAATCGGCCCTCAATGATGTGATGGAAGAGCACAGTGACCTACCACATAATAGCCCTATTATGAATACACAAGCTCTCTGACATTTTCTTTTGCAGGAAAAAAAAAAAACATCCGCAGCTCATTGTAGCCTGGGAATAGTGTCTGATTATTTGAGTTTGTTACATCACCGCTCAATCCTACGATGTATACCGCATGGCAAGGTTCCGAAGAGAGGAACTGACTATAATATAGCTTTGGCTTTCTCCAGGAAAGAGTTCAATTCTTCCCACTTACTCACAGAGGGATGCAGCTCAATGATTTACAAACTCAGCTTGTTAACTTTAATGAGAAATTCTGAAGCCTGGGTGAAGCTGGAGCATTTTGTTGAGGTCAGTCATGCAGGTCGGGCTTGGTTTCTGTTGTTAGAGGAGGTGCTGTCTCACATACAGCACCAAGTAGGTTGCACTTCTTCCACTTATCCACAGAGGGATGAAGCTCAATGGTCTACGCCAGTGATCTCCAAACTGTGGCCCTTTGCCTCTATAGAGCCCTTGGGACACTAATTCCTCCATCAATGATGAAACACCATTCCTCCCCACTGACACCATTAATGTGACACTCTTCCTCCCACTGACACCATAGATGGGGCACTCTTCCTCCTTCTAAGACCAATGATGGGGCATTATTCCACCAACTGACCCTGTTAATGGGGCCCTATTCCTCCTATTGCTACCAACGATGGGACACTATTCCTCCCACTGATACCAATGATGGGGCACTATTCCTCCCACTGATACCAATGATGGGGCACTATTCCTCCCACTGATACCAATGATGGGGCACTATTCCTCCCGCTGATACCAATGATGGGGCACTATTCCTCCCACTGATACCAATGATGGGGCACTATTCCTCCCACTGATACCAATGATGGGGCACTATTCCTCCCACTGACACCAATGATGGGACACTATTCCTCCCACTGATACCAATGATGGGGGACTATTCCTCCCACTGACACCAATGATGGGGCACTATTCCTCCCACTGATACCAATGATGGGGCACTATTCCTCCCACTGATACCAATGATGGGGCACTATTCCTCCCACTGATACCAATGATGGGGCACTATTCCTCCCACTGATACCAATGATGGGACACTATTCCTCCCACTGATACCAATGATGGGACACTAGTCCAGGGGTGGCCAACCTGCGGCTCTCCAGCTGCTGCAGGACTACAAGTTCCATCATGCCTCTGCAAGTCAGTAACTTCCCATCTTTGCAATGCCTCATGGGAAATGTACTTCCACAACAGCTGGAGAGCCACAGGTTAGCCACTCCTGCACTATTCCTACCACTGACACAAATGATGGGACACTATTACTTCCACTGATACCAATGATGGGGCGCTATTCCTCCCACTGATACCAATGATGGGGCGCTATTCCTCCCCCACTGATACCAATGATGGGGCACTATTCCTCCCACTGACACCAATGATGGGACACTATTCCTCCCACTGACACCAATGATGGGACACTATTCCTTCCACTGACACCAATGATGGGGCACTATTCCTCCCACTGACACCAATGATGGGACACTATTCCTTCCACTGACACCAATGATGGGGCACTATTCCTCTAACTGACACCAATGACAGGGCACTATTCCTCCCACTGACACCAATGATGGGACACTATTCCTTCCACTGACACCAATGATGGGGCACTATTCCTCTAACTGACACCAATGACAGGGCACTATTCCTCCCACTGATACCAATGATGGGGCACTATTCCTCCCACTGATACCAATGATGAGGCACTATTCCTCCCACTGATACCAATGATGGGGCACTATTCCTCCCACTGATACCAATGATGGGACACTATTCTTTCCACTGACACCAATGATGGGACACTATTCCTTCCACTGACACCAATGATGGGGCACTATTCCTCTAACTGACACCAATGACAGGGCACTATTCCTCCCACTGATACCAATGATGAGGCACTATTCCTCCCACTGATACCAATAATGGGACACTATTCCTTCCACTGACACCAATGATGGGGCACTATTCCTTCCACTGATACCAATGATGGGGCACTATTCCTCCCACTGATACCAATGATGGGGCACTATTCCTTCCACTGATACCAATGATGGGGCACTATTCCTCCCACTAATACCAATGATGGGGCACTATTCCTCCCACTGATACCAATGATGGGGCACTATTCCTTCCACTGATACCAATGATGGGGCACTATTCCTCCCACTAATACCAATGATGGGGCACTATTTCCTCAGCTACAACCAACCATGGGGCACTATTCCTCCTGCTAAAAACCAACAATGGGGTACTATTCCTCCCACTGACAACGTCGATGGGGCACTATTCCTTCTGCTAAAACCAATGATGGGGCAGTGTTTACTCTCACTGATGACTGGACATTTAACAGCCGCCTAAAGCCTGAAGGACAGTAAAGTGGCCCTTTGTTTGAAAACGCTGGAGACCCGTGGTTTACACACTCCGCTTTAATAAGAATGGCTGAACATACAACCAAGTAGGTTGTACCTCTTCAGAATCATAGGCATTTTTCTGGTTACAGAAATGTTATTATTATTATTATACAGGATTTATATAACGCCAACAGTTTGCTCAGCGCTTTACAATATAACGGGAGACAATACAGCAACAATACAGTTCAATACAAGAGGAATAGGAGGGCCCTGCTCCTTGGAGCTTACAATTTAGGAGGGAGGGGCTAGTGGTACAAAAGGTAATAACTGTGGGGGATGGACTGGTTGGAAGAGTAGAAGATTCCTTTATTAGCTGAGGGCAGGATAGGCTTCCCTGAAGAAATAGGTTTTCAGAGATCGCCTAAAAGTGAGCAGAGTAGGCGATAGTCTGATAAATTGGGGTAGAGTTCCAGAGGCTGGGGAAGCTCTGGAGAAGTCCTGGAGACGAGCATGGGAGGAGGAGACAAGGGCGCTAGAGAGTAGGAGGTCTTGCGAGGAGCGGAGAGTACGGTTTGGGTGATATTTAGAGACAAGATCGGTGATGTAATTTGGGGAAGAGTTATAAATGGCTTTATACGTTAAATGTTAAAGTGGAAAGGTATAAACTCGGCTTCCAGTGTCTCATCTGGGTCATTATCAACACTGCACAGACCGATTATAATAAGCCATGCTCTTTAGATCCCCCTATTGAGATTAATCTCATAATTGCTCATCATCAGTTGGATCACATATCAATAACAATCCTTGTTATCAATTGTTTACATCCCTGCACAATCTACTAGGAGTAACGCTCATCACCAACCAACCCAGATTAACATTGCAATGCTTGTTATAACTCTGTAATATTCCTAAATTAACATAAGCAATGCCTGTGTTATCATTCCTTATCGGTGCTCATTATCACCCTTATTGAAAGCACAGCTTGACTATCAGTCTGTGCAGGGGCTGACAGCTGGATTTCTTCAGCAATCCTAAGTATATTGGGAGGTTATGTGTCTTCTTGTGTGGTTGTATAACTGTGATGAGGACGTACAAACCTGGTATTTAACAGGCAGATCAAGGGACACACGTGGCCATTTGGTACATATTTTGTATTTCTTGGGCCTCAGAACATAGCAGTGGCAGGGGGAGAATTAATGCGTAAAGCAGTTGTAATGGCAGGGATCCCCAGCAGTCTTATGTAACAGTTACAGGTTTATGTCTCCTGGAGCATGTCTTCAGTCTTCAACAATACCTGTAGCATGTCCTTAGTCACTAACCATCTTCTGTAACATGTCCCCAATCTCTGACCATCTCCTGTAGTATGTATGCAAACCCTAACCATCTCCATTTATTTCTCCAGTATCTGACTATCTTCTGCATCATGTCCCCAATATCTGACCATCTCCTGTAGTATGTACACAACCCCTGACCATCTCCTTTTTTTGTTTCTGAATCTGACCATCTCCTGTAGTATGTATGCAAACCCTAACCATCTCCATTTATTTCTCCAGTATCTGACTATCTCCTGCATCATGTCCCCAATATCTGACCATCTCCTGTAGTATGTACACAACCCCTGACCACCTCCTTTTTTTGTTCCTGATATCTGACCATCTCCTGTAGTATGTACACAACCCCTGACCATCTCCTTTTTTTGTTCCTGATATCTGACCATCTCCTGTAGTATGTACACAACCCCTGACCATCTCCTTTTTTTGTTCCTGATATCTGACCATCTCCTGTAGTATGTACACAACCCCTGACCATCTCCTTTTTTTGTTCCTGATATCTGACCATCTCCTGTAGTATGTACACAACCCCTGACCATCTCCTTTTTTTGTTCCTGATATCTGACCATCTCCTGTAGTATGTACACAACCCCTGACCATCTCCTTTTTTTTGTTCCTGATATCTGAGCATCTCCTGTAGTATGTACACAACCCCTGACCATCTCCTTTTTTTGTTCCTGATATCTGACCATCTCCTGTAGTATGTACACAACCCCTGAGCATCTCCTTTTTTAGTTCCTGATATCTGACCATCTCCTGTAGTATGTATGCAAACCCTAACCATCTCCATTTATTTCTCCAGTATCTGACTATCTCCTGCATCATGTCCCCAATATCTGACCATCTCCTGTAGTATGTACACAACCTCTGACCATCTCCTTTCTTTGTTCCTGATATCTGACCATCTCCTGTAGTATGTACACAACCCCTGACCATCTCCTATCTTTGTTCCTGATATCTGATCATCTCCTGTAGCAGCTGTACAGATATGTGACTAGTAGCTATAGAGCTTTAGAGCAGAACTCACTCTGGTGTCCAGCTCCTCGTTGTCATCGGGTGTAGTACACGTCGTATGGATACTTCCATTACATTCTTTGGTGTTGATCAGCTGTGGGGAATTTCCATGTGATGATGCCAAGGACAGCTTCTAAACAAAGAAAAAAAAGAAACAACGGGAAGGTATGTCACTGCAAATCCAATATGTATGTGATGTTGCTCTTGTTTATTATGATGCTGCAAAGCAAAACCAAATAAAGATAAAAACTTAAGGTATACTGTAAAAGGGGTAATCTCATGGGCTGATCTCCACCTATGCACTGCAGCACAGTATGAAAGGGTAAAGGTTCCTATATGGGCCCATTTACACCTAAGCATGTGAGTTACCATCCACTCTTCAATGCAACCAGAATCCAACCCAAAGCATTGCCCGCATCCTCCACCAAGTATTAAAGGGGACAGGCTCAATTGGTATTGGCAACAGTAAAGCATGCTGGAAACAGGGACACCTAGGAACAAACAGGTTTGTCCTGCACTTTTATTCAGCAAGATAGCAAACAAATACCAGTTTCAATACAGGAGGGTTTTGTACAGCAAGTTCATGGCATTTTTTGTTATATTTTATCTAAAAGCAGAGGCCCTAGAAGATATATTGGTGGGTTTTGCAGTTTTTTTTATGTCACATGGTATTTGAGCAGCACTTTTTCAAATGCTATTTTTTGGGAAAAAATAAAATGTTTTAATTTTAATGCAAAAAAAACACAATACATAACCCAATTTTTTGTATAATACAAAAGATGACGTTACGCCAAGCAAATAGATACCAAACATGTCACGCTTTAAAACTGTGCACACCTGCGCAACGGAGACAAACGCTGTAAAGTTTACTATGTATAGGCGACACTTTAAAAACCTTTACAGGTTACCAATTTAGATTTGCAGAGGAGGTCTGGTCTAGAATTACTGACCATAATCTGAAATTTGTTGTGATATCTCACATGTGTGGGAATAACGCATGCATTCGCCTTTGCATACAAGCACGGAGGCATTTTTTTTTTTTACACTGATACTTTAAAAAAAAAAATTACTTTTGATCACTTTTATTGCTGTCACACAGAATGTAAACATCCCGGGTAACTAGGGTTGCCACCTCATCCCTTTAAAACCGAATACATATTAATTACACAGTTTCTGAGGCTAATTTAATGCAGATTAGGCACTAGGTGAGTTTAATTTCCACCTTAATCAACCGCAGAACCTGTGTAATTAATATGTGTTCGGTTTTAAAGGGATGAGGTGGCAACCCTACTTGTAACAGTAACAGGCCTGTGACAGGTATAAGGTCAAAAAGACCCCAAATCCCTCCTCTGCTCTTAAAAGCATTCAATCACACAAAGATCGGTGTGAATGAATGCTTTTATCTAAAACAAAATGGAGCTGATTGTTTCTGAGTAAACTGCAAGTGATGTCAGGTCATCACTTACGGTTTACTACTTGACGGAGCTGAATAAACCTGATCCGGTCTTCGTTCGCCTCCGTGACTAGCTGGCGGCAGCGCTGGCTGGTCAATTGGGACTCATGCAAAGCCCTTAAGTAGGCAGGAAATGGGGGGGCATCCCCTCCCACTGCTCATGATAGATCAATCAAGCCCAGCTAGTTAGAGTACGCTCCGATTGCTATTACAATAAAGCCGAGTGTTGGCGTAAATAAGATGCTTGGTGCAGGCACCAACCCGGTACAACCACTTGTTTGTGACGTACCAGGTACATGACTGGTCACAATGGATGCCTATTACTGTATATAGCCTGTAAAACTCCTTAAGATCAGGCTGAAAACAAAGTTTGTGACATGAACGCCCCTCACTGTGTATGCAAAAACATAGGTGACACGTATGTCCCAGGATGAATTGCCAGTAATGGTGCAGACTACTTGCCTTCTGGGAGCAGTACCCAACATGGCCCGGGTGTGCAATCAAGACCAACCCTGCAGCCAGCCAAACACCTGAAGCTGATTATGCAGGTATTTAAGGGATGGCCAGACCTGCAGTCTGGGCCTGGTGCTGTGCACTATGGGACCCTGTTCCTGTTCCTGTCTGACTGATTCGTTGCTGACCCTGCCTGATCCGGACCTCTGCTGACTTCTCCTGTTTGATCCCTGGCTTGTGACCCCACCATTTTCTGCCTGACCCCCTGTACCTACCTGCCCGTTAGTTGCTGTACCCGGCTCGTGACCTGACTACTCTCTGCCTGATCCTTCTGTTCCTACCTGCCCGATTGTTATTGACCGGCCGGCCTGACTACGCTTGCACTGTATGTTTTGTTATCTGGGGTGTTTGGTTTGGTTCGTTTGCACTGTGTTATGTTTTAGTATTGCCTACGTTTATGTATTGTTAGTGTTACCTAAATTATATTGTTTATAACATATCTGAAGCCTGCGTTTCCCTGCTCAGTTCACATACCTCTGGTCATACCCAGGAGCCCTGACACCTATTCACACCAATGCCAATGTACCAGCCAGTTCCAAGAGTAAACGGTGGGATCCTAAGAATTTCCTATTTCTGCTACTAGTAGGGAGAGGGTCCCTCCTCTGAATCACTCAGCAGTCTTTGTAATGTGATCTCTCCTTCCTGCTCTGTGGACTTCTTGGTTCTATTTCACAACAGAGCTGTTATTCTGCTTCCAGAAATCAGAAGCTATCTGCTGACTGTAAAATGCGGATGTGCAATCTACAGAAAAAATCGATAAAATATATACAAAAAACATATTACCTTCTCTTTCATTCTAAAATGTTTGTTATTTGTGTCTTCTAGTTTGTAGATATATTTAGTCCATTCAGGACTTTGGGGATTAAACCTTGAACTCTAAGCAAACAGCAGAAGTAGTATATGAAGACTTTTTACACCAAAGGACTTGCATTTCTGTCCACCCATTTCTGAGATTCATACAGCTCTGCCACTCAGCATAGCCCTGTATAGCAGCAAATCGATCTGATCTTTCTCTGTGATCCCCCCATCCTGTGACTAGACAGTTGCTCTCACCAATCCGAGTGGGCGCTAAGCCTTGGTGCATGAGGCCTGGTGTTTTCCTGTTTGTGGAAGGCACAGGTGCACCATGCTGCCTTATTGCTAGAAGCCTGTAAAACTCTATAAGAGGCTGAAAGCTGCTGAGGTTTGACAGAGCACTGACTGGCACTAACCTTTAGGGCCGTATGCTCCCAAGGATGAATGCCCAGAACGCAGACTACTTGCATTCTGGGAGCATAGCACCAACATTCCCTGTGTGCAAGCCATATCAAGCTGAAACCCTGTGCAGCCGGTATGTGGATTCCCCTGTGCTGTCCACATCTACTTCCATCAGACACTAGAGTTGCGGTGGGCACTTGCGCTCTCCTTCCCGCACTGTGCCCAACTGAGACAAAGAGCTCGCCCCTAGCCCCACTCCTGAAGCGGACACAGCATGTTGCCAAGGCCACCTCATCAGCTTCCTGGGAAGGACAAACATCTGCAATGTGAATCCTTGAATTCTGGTGTGTTTCACCTTGCTGTACCATATTGCTGCCCTGTGAAATTTTCACCTTGCTGTACAATATTGCTGCTCTGTGGACTTTTTCTCCTTACTGTAACATATTGCTGCCCTGTGAACCTTTCACCTTGCTGTACCATATTGCTGCTCTGTGGACTTTTCACCTTGCTGTACCATATTGCTGCCCTGAGCACTTTTTCTGCTTGCTGTACCATATTTCTGCCCTGTGGACTTTTTGACCTTGCTGTACCATATTTCTGCCCTGTGGCCTTTTCTCCTTTCTGTACCATATTACTGCCCTGTGGCCTTTTCTCTTTGCTGTACCATATCGCTGCCCTGTGGACTTTTTCACCTTGTTGTACCATGTTGCAGCCCTGTGAACTTTTTCACCTTGCTGTACCATATTTCTGCCTTGTAGACTTTTCTCCCTTCCTGTACTATCGCTGCCCTGTGAACCTTTTCACCTTGCTGTACCATATTTCTGCCCTGTGGACTTTTTTTCACTTGCTGTACCATATTGCTGCCCTGTGAACTTTTTTCTGCTTGCTGTACCATGTTGCTGCCCTGTAAATTTTTTCACCTTGCTGTACCATGTCGCTGCCCTGTGGACTTTTTTGCCTTGCTGTACCATATCGCTGCCCTGTGGACTTTTTTCACCTTGCTGTACAATGTTGCTGTCCTGTGGACTTTTCTCCTTGCTGTATGATGTTGTTGCCCTGTGAACTTTTCACCTTGCTGTACCATATTACTGTCCTGTAAAATTTTCACCTTGATGTATCATGTTGCTACCCTGAGAACTTTTTCACCTTGCTGTACGATATTGCTGCCCTGTGAAATTTTCACCTTACTGTACGATATTGCTGCCCTGTGAAATTTTCACCTTGCACCTTATTGCTGTTCCACGATATTTGCTGCCCTGTGAAATTTTCACCTTGCTGTACCATATTGCTGCCCTGTGAAATTTTCACCTTGCTGTACCATATTGCTGCCCTGTGAACCTTTCCACCTTGCTGTATCATGTTGCTGCCCTGTGAAATTTTCACCTTGCTGAACCATGTTGCTGCCCTGTGGATGTTTTCACCTTGCTGTACCATATTTCTGCCTGTGGACCTTTCTCACTTGCTGTACCATATTACTGCCCTGTGAACTTTTCTCCTTGCTGTACCATATCGCTTGTGAACTTTTTCACCTTGCCCATATTTCTGCCCTGTAGACTTTTCTCCCTTCCTGTACTATCTTGCTGCCCTGTGAACCTTTTCACCTTGCTGTACCATATTTCCGTCCTGTGGACTTTTTTCACTTGCTGTACCATATTGCTGCCCTGTGAACTTTTTCTCCCTAGCTGTACCATATTGCTGCCCTGTGAACTTTTCTCCTTGCTGTGCCATATTACTGTCATTGGAACTCTTCTTCTTACTATGCCCATCCTCCCTCCCTGGATCTTGGACTTACCCCAGCTGTCTAGTGCTGTTGTCCTGGACCTACACATGGCTGGGTCATACGTACCACTAAATTGTGACCTTGCTGTGTGCCTCCCTGGTCCTCCTGGATTTCTACTAGACCCGCCTCTTGCTGCACCCTCCGCACATATCAAAGTTCCCCCATAAACCTGGTGCTGCTCAAATGTTTTTAATACAAAAAATACCACATTTTAACCACTAGATGGTGCTTAGTGCCATAAGAAAATTCTACATTACTTAGTGCCATCTACTGGCCAAATGCGATAATTTCCTATTTCAAATCAATGGAAAAGGTTGACCAGCATAGGAAATAGCCTAATAACATTTGTTTTTAGCCCCCATTCACACAGAATGAATGTATATGCACGCTCATTGTCCAAATTACTCTGCAAATATTTTTATAAATACGCCCTTATTCTTGTCAGGATTAATTAGTACAGGGAACGGGGTTACCATTACCCGTATAAAAGGAGGACTGTGCTTGATTACAAACAATCAGGCTGCTACAAAGCTGTATGGTGATTCAGGACAAGCCTGAGTGCCTCCATAGGCAACAGCTACCATAGGAAAGGCTTGTTGGTAATATCTTTCACACTCACCACTCCATTGATGCCATTCTTATTGACTGGCTGCTTTGGTACGATGACCAGGTAAGTGACAATACCCTTTTCTCTCAGGTAGTCACACCTCGTGCTCCCTTCACCCGGCTCCACTTCAAACTCCCCCTTCAGGCAGTTAAAGGTGCTCTGTGAGATGTGCACACGCCTGTGGGAATTTGGGAAGGAAATACATCAGCGCAAGCAACCAAATTATTGGTTGTATCTGGATATATAATCCATATACAACAGATGGCAGATGGTTTACGTACCCAGGAATGCCGCCGGCCTCCATCTTGTTAGCCAGGGTGACATCTGTAGACCACACATCGTACTGCCAACGCTTCTGGCCGAGGACCCCTCCGATGACGGTACCCGTGTGAACACCCACACGCATGTCCACGTCTGTTTTGGTCTTTTCTCTGACATATCTGATGGATGAAGAAAGTCTTAAGCTGGCTATACACTAGTAGAATTTCATTTAATTTTTAACAACTGCTTGTCCTGATTTTTCTCTGTCACAGTTCAGTAACACTTCCAGGTCTTGTCTCCCCCCCCCCCCCCCCAGCTCGTGAATGGAGAAGGAAAGGAGAAGAACAGTGAAGAACTGTATTGGATGTGAGCACGCCAAGGGTCAGTCCACAAGTCAGAGTGTAGGGGTGTACAGTAGAGCGCTGACATTGGGATTAGATAAGTAAAAGTGCTTTTTTCAGTAACCTAGGCACAGGGGCGTACTGACAACTCATGGGGCCCCCAGGCAATAGGGGATCATGGGGCCCCTGTGTCCTTGGCCAAACTCAAAAAAGCCTATGAAAAAGGTACCAGGGGCATCTCATGGGGCCCCTACTGACCCCGGGCCCACGGGCAGTGCCTGAGTTTCCAAATGGTCAGTCCACCCCTGCCTAGGCATACAAGAGCAGTTAAGGGATGATTTTTGTTTTCCACGAAGGTAGGCTGTACTAATGGCTACAGAACTGTATGATTTGTATCTTTTATATCTGCCTGGAGTTCCACTATAAATATTTTTATTCTTACAGGTAAATATGATGTATCACAGTATTAATATTGTGCAATCCTCTATTCAGATAGAGCTTGTCTCCTTTTGACATCATTAGCCCATTGTTTGCAGGATTCCAATGAGTCATCAGAGAAATAACTCCCTTATAAGGCTCTGGGCTCTGCTGGAAGTTTCAATCACACAAATGGAGCTGTAAAGCAAGCTGCTCTGATATCTCTTTAGCTAACCCAGGGGTCTTCAAATCTTTTAGTACAATGGCCACATTTTGGATATTAAAATTATTTGTAGACCAAAAAAAATAAAAAAATCAGTTTTCAGAGTCCCCCACTACATCCAGGAGTGACCATCAGACTCTAACCTTATATCTAGGAATGCTTATCAGAGCCCCTGTATACATGCAGGAGTGATCATAAAACATACAGGAGTGCCCTTACACCTAGGTGTGCTCTTCAGAGTCCTCCCTTACATCTAAGAGTGCTCACAGACTCCTCACTTACATTGTGCAGTGCCCATCAGAGTCCCTCTTTACATCAGGCAGTGCATCAGAGTCCCTCCTTATCCAGGAGTGCCCAGCAGAGTCCCTCCTTAAATGCAGGAATGCCCCACAGAATCCCTCCTTACATCCAGGAGTGCCCAGCAGAGTCCCTCCTTACATGCAGGAGTGCCCCACAGAATCCCTCCTTACATCCAGGAGTGCCCAGTAGAGTCCCTCCTTACATCCAGGAGTGCCCCGCAGAATCCCTCCTTACATCTAGGGGTGCCCATCAGAGTCCCTCCTTATATCTAGGGGTGCCCATCAGAGTCCCTCCTTACATCTAGGTCTAGGGGTGCCCATCAGAGTCCCTCCTTATATCTAGGAGTGCCCATCAGAATCCCTCCTTACATCTAGGGGTGCCCATCAGAGTCCCTCCTTACATCCAGGAGTGCCCAGCAGAGTCCCTCCTTACATCCAGGAGTGCCCAGCAGAGTCCCTCCTTACATCCAGGAGTGCCCAGCAGAGTCCCTCCTTACATCCAGGAGTGCCCATTAGAGTCCCTCCTTACGTCCAGGAGTGCCCATTAGAGTCCCTCCTTACATTCAGAAGTGCCCATCAGAGTTCCTCCTTAAATTGAGGAGTGCCCATCAGAGTCCCTCCTTACATTCAAGAGTGCCCAGCTGAGTCCCTCCTTATACTCAGGAGTGCCCAGCTGAGTCCCTCCTTATACTCAGGAGTGCCCAATCAGAGTCCCTCCACAAATCCAGGAGTGCCCATCAGGGGGACTGGTGGAGGTTCATGGCTGGCTGGCAGTGGATGTGCCAGACTTCATATTACAATACACAAATCACTGCCAGCCAGCCAAGGTAATTTCACAGACAGTTGCTGTGGGCCAAATAAAATCTTGTAGCGGGCCAGATATGGGCCAAAGGCCGTAGCTTGAAGACCCCTGAACTAACCCATAGTGACCTGGAAGTCCTTTGTCATATGTGTTTAAATGTTTATTTGCATAAAAAAAAAAAATATTGGATAAAAAAGTTTAACAACATCAGTATAAAACGTAAAAACCTGAAATATATCTAAAATTAAAACTTTCATTTGGTTTTGGATTGTGTATGGAAAGATCATAACCCTTTTCAGCTTAATACCTGCAGATTCTGTCAGAAATCTAATAAGCTGATACCCCCCCACCCCATATGTTAAGAAGATGAGGAGAGGAGGCTGTGCTCTGTAGTCCTAACACAGTTTCTGTCCTAAGGTGACAACGCTGTTGCTCCATAGATACAGCACACTGTGTAAGTGTTGTCACCATAGGACAGTAAGTGTGTTACTGGCAGGATCACCAAATGAAAGGTGGAAAAAAGGAAAAGAAAAAAAAAAAAAAAGAAAACAAATGCAACCATCACATCTAAAAACTGCATTTAGATACTCTATAAGAAAGCAGTTCCATAACCTAGAGGAGGCTGTGTTCTGTAGTCCTAACACAGTTTCTGTCCTAGGGTGACAACGCTGCTCCTCCATAGATACAATACACTGTGTAAGTGTTGTCACCGTAGGACAGGAAGAGTGTTACTGGCAGGATCACCAAATGAAAGGGGGGAGAAAAGAAAAAGGAAAAAAACAACAAAAAAACAAATGCAACCATCACATCTAAAAACTGCATTTAGATACACTATAAGAAAGCAGTTCCATAACCTACAAAATGTTACAGTACTTACGATATGGCATCTACCATGGCCAGACCCATCATGATGGAGCAGTAGGCGTGATCTTCTCTGTAATCAGGGAGGCCACAGATGCAGTAATAACAGTCACCTAGGATCTTAATCCTTAACTGGTGATATTTCTACAAGAGAAAACAAGGTCTGATATTATAGTTTTAGTATTGTGTATGTCTGTGCACAAGAGGACCCAACCAGAGGTGAGAAACAAACAAATCCATCTGTGGTTTCTTGTGGCTCAGGAGATGGGAGGCATGTCAGGTGAATACGATCTACACATCTACACATCAATTTGCCAAATAATATGATAAATCCCTGTAGAAATAGTGGAACTGGAAGCCAGGAAAACAATTTTAGAACCTTCTGGTTTAACAAACAGGAAATCCATCTGCCTAAAATTATCAGTTGCCAAAAGGTAAACCCCAACGGCCTTCACTGCATCCAGTTTTGGAAATGTACATAGTGCAGTAGTCAGATGTATGTAAAGTACATAGTGTAGGGTCATGTAACATACATAGTACAGGGGTAAGGTTTGGATAACGTACATAGTGCAGGGGTCAAAGTTGGGTAGCATACATAGTGCAGGGTTAGGGTTATATAACATACATAGTGCAGGGGTCAAAGTTGGGTAACATACATAGTGCAGGGCTAGGGTTATATAACATACATAGTACTGGGGTCAGGGTTGGGTAACATACATAGTGCAGGGCTAGGGTTATATAACATACATAGTACTGGGGTCAGGGTTGGGTAACATACATAGTGCAGGGCTAGGGTTATATAACATACATAGTGCAGGGGTCAAAGTTGGGTAACATATACAGTGCAGGGGTTAGGGTTGGGTAACATATACAGTGCAGGGCTAGGGTTATATAACATACATAGTACAGGGGTTAGGGTTGGGTAACATATATAGTGCAGGGATTAGGGTTGGGTAACATATACAGTGCAGGGGTCAGGGTATATACAGTGCAGGGGTCAGGGTTATATAACATACATAGTACAGGGGTCAGGGTTGGGTAACATATATAGTGCAGGGGTTAGGGTTGGGTAACGTACATAGTGAAGGGCTAGGGTTATATAACATACATAGTACAGGGGTCAGGGTTGGGTAACATATATAGTGCAGGGGTTAGGGTTGGGTAACATATATAGTGCGGGGCTAGGGTTATATAACATACATAGTACAGGGGTCAGGGTTGGGTAACATATATAGTGCAGGGGTTAGGGTTGGGTAACGTACATAGTGAAGGGCTAGGGTTATATAACATACATAGTACAGGGGTCAGGGTTGAGTAACATATATAGTGCAGGGGTTAGGGTTGGGTAACGTACATAGTGCAGGGCTAGGGTTATATAACATACATAGTACAGGGGTCAGGGTTGGGTAACATATATAGTGCAGGGGTCAGGGTTGGGTAGCATAAATGTGTAGGGGTCAGGGTTAGGTAACGTAAATAGTTCAAGGGTCAGGGTTGGGTAATGTAAATAATTCAAGGGTCAGGGATGCGTAATGTACATAGTGCAGGAGTCAGATGTATGTAACGTACATAGAGCAGGGGTCAGAGTTGGGTAACAACATAGTGCAGGGGTCAGGTAATAGACATAGTGCAGGGGTCAAGGTTATGTATTGAACATAGAAGGAAAACTCTTACGCTCAGATATATTGGTGCTCTGGCTCTGTGTGTCCTCCCAACACAAGCACAACTTGAAAATGAAGATATGAAGAGCTGGCTACTCGTCTTCCTGAATAATTCGCTTTATTGTAACGAGTAAGATGTACAGTTAAAATTATTTATTCGTTTCAGCAATAAGCATTAGTCACAGCCAAGGCTTATTGCCGAAGCGCGTAAACCATTTTATCTGTACATCATGCTCGTTACAATAAAGCTACTTATTCGAGAAGACAAGTAGCCAGCTCTTCAAATCTTCATTTTCATGTAGGGGTCAGGGTCATGTAAGGTACATAGTGTAGGGGTCAGGGTAATGTAAAGGTACATAGTGTAGGGGTCAGAGTTATGTAATGTACATAGGGTAGGGGTCAGGGTTGTATAATGTACATAGTGTAGGGGTCAGGGTTGTATAATGTACATAGTGTAGGGGTCAGGGTTATGTAATGTACAAAGTGTAGGGGTCAGGGTAATGTAATGTACATAGTTTAGGAGTCAGGGTCATGTAAGGTA